TAAGAACGACATCGGTTACTCTTGCATCTGGCTCTCAAATCTATAATTCGTACTCTCCCCAATTCCCTTTCGGAAACTATACTAGTTAGAAAACCCATATAACCTCGCTACCTCACCGACATACAACTCTATTAATCTTCCCAAGGAATATCTAATATCAATAAGGATAGGGTGAGAAACCTTGGTGAATCTATCCACTAACCAAATAAGATCAAATTTCTTAAGCATATCAGGAAAAACTACAACTAAGTTCATAAGTAGAAAATCTCGCTTCCAAACTAGGACGTCTAAAGGCTGCAAAAGTCCTAAAGACTTCTAGTATTCTACTTTAGACTTCTGGCATACTAAACATGCGTGAGTACACAAATTATTCTACTTCTCTCTTCATCTTAGGCCACTAGAACATCTTCCTAAGGTCCTGATACATCTTAGTAGCTCTTAAATGAATGCTAAGAGTACTCTTATTTCCTTCCTCTAAGATCATCTTCCTTAATTCGGGGTTACTAGGCACATAGATCATATCCTTGAACCCTATAACACCATCAACTTCCACTCGTAAAGGGATATCTATACCCCTACCAATCCTCTCCACTTGGTTCACTAAGAAAAGATCTAACTCCTGGGCTTCTCTAATCTCATCCATTCATTTACTAGTCACTTTAACATACTCAATCTAATGTTCCTAGGGGTAAGTTCACACGCCAAGCTTAAGTCTATGAACTCCTCTATCATATCCAACCCTTAAATCATCCAAGATGATAGGTGAAGAGTCTTTCTACTCAAGGCATCTGCTACTATATTATCTTTACTTCTATGACCCTCTCTAAAGATCAAGCACCTAGGCGTAAGTTCACTAGGTATGCATACTTGATCTCTAAGTCTTACCAATTCATCTATACCCAAGGCAAACTCTTAACCACTACCTTATCCTATTGCCTCATCCCTTGCCACCAAAATGAATCAACTAATTATGCTTCTCCAATTTCCTTCAATAATCCACTCGTTACTCGAGTCATACCTCACACTCTAGGAGTAATCTCACAAGTCAAACTTAAATTCTTAGACCGAGCCAAAAGGTCATCTCTCTAATCTTAAGGGAAGTTAAATGTAGAAGTTTCCTACTAAAAACATCAACCATCACATTGGCTATACTCAGATAACAACTAAGATTAAAATCCTAGTCCTTGAGAAATTCCAACTACCTCTTTTGCCTCATATTCAGCTCTTTCAGGTCAAACGAGTATTTAAGGCTCTTATGATCACTTACCTCAAGCTTAGAACCATACAGGTAGTGTCACCAAATCTTAGTGTAAATATTACAACTACTAACTCAAGGTCATGGATAAGGTAATTCCTCTCATGAATTTTCAATTGCCTAGAAACATAAGCTACTACCTTTCCTTCTTGCATCAACGCTCTACCCAAACCCATCTTAGAAGCATCACCATGTACCACAAAAGACTTCCTAAAATTTGGTAATATTAACACTAGTCAATCTTTTCTTAAGAGTTTGGAAACTACTCTCACACTTACTATCCCATACAAAGACAACTCTTTTCCTGGTCAATCTAGTAAAAGGTAATGCTATCTTAGAAATTTCCTCAATAAATCTCCTATAATAATAAACTATCCTAAGAAAACTTCTAACCTCACTAACTGACTTTGGTATCTCCCACTTAAGCACAACTTTTGCCTTAGATAGACCTACATTATACCTCCGCTAGAAATTACAGGACCTAGAAAACTCGTCTCATACAATCAAAAATCATACTTAGATAACTTAGCATAAAGTTGTTTGGGATATATCCTCACCTTCAATTTCGATATGATGATATCACACTCTAAGTTCAATCTTGCTAAACACACAAACACCCATTATTTGATCCGTAAGGTCATCTATCCTCATATCAACATACATGCATATCAAATCATATTAGAATACCTACTTTAAACATTCATATATACCATCCCTAAGCATGTACGAATCAATCACCATTTACACCATATAGCATGCACATGAACCAACTTTATCACAAAGCATCATACAACCTTTAACAACCTCTTAATCTACATGATAACACCTCAGAACATCATAACAAAATTAGTTTTTATCCTTGCATTGCCTAATAACTCAAAAATATCATGACACCATACATATCCCTTCAACAACTGTCAAAGAAAATGATACATAGAGAGTTATACTCATCCAAATGATCTCAAACATATCTCAAAAGAAAGCTAAGAGAATAAGCTACAACTCTTATGAAGGTATGAAATTCTAAAAAGATCATCTTCTTAGCTAAAAATTCAAAAACCACAACAAATATATTCAGCGCTTACAGCTAGACCTCTGATTACCAAAGCAACTATAAATGGAGTTCTGGATCTCCGTTTTACCTGATTTTAGTTCCATTGGAAAGATAACATCCAAGTCTACAACTTTTGTGAAGACCATAAAATCTAATTTTGTCAATATAGCACTTGTATTCGCACAACAAAACTGCAGTGCAAACATCCCCTACACCAGACAACAATAGTGTATCAACTTCTAAGGCCACAAAAATACCTCAATCCTTCCAAACCCACTTCTTTCCACCTCAAAACCGTGTCCAAGTTTCCCACTACAATCCTAAACCAAAACAACTCACATATTCAACATAAAAGACTTAGAAAATAAAACTCATGCTACATAAACCATAAAAGGTTAACATGCAAAAACCAACACTCAAGGTTTCTATTATGTCTTCATAAGTTTTCATGATCGAAAAATTACTTCCAAAATTTCATCAATTCTAGTGAAGTAAACATGTGTGATTTCTAGTCCTAGTGCATTTTTCTTAATTGGTTTTGAATCTAGACATTTTGGCCGCTGGAAAACAGAGGAAAAACATATAAAAGAAAAAGAAATCAAAGGATTTAAGAGCAAGAAAAGAGATAGTACAAAAAGAATCAAAACCAAGAACCAAAAATAGTGCACTAGACTTTGAAATCTCACTCAAGTTGCTTACATTAATAGATCCAGTTCATACTTTAAAGTTGTTGTGTGAATTTTGGTGTAAAAGGCATATAGTTTTCTCTAAATTTGTTTCTCAAAATTAGAAGAACAAAAGTTAAAAAAAATCAAAGAAAGTGCAAAAGCCGAGAAGGATTTAAAAGAAAAACAAGAACCAAATTTCATGAAAAATGGATCTAGCAACTTGTATTAATCTTTGACTCTACTTCACAAATATTTTTGGTTTTCTTAATCCACTCTAGAACCATTCTAAGACATTCCTTATTGAGTGCTAGCTTTCATTTGGAGTCTTACTTTTTAGCTTCGTGTCTTTGTTGGCTTTCTTTGAGTTTTGTCAACTATTACACATTCTTTGTTGGTATAAGCTTCCTAATTCTTTTCTTGTGCTTGTCAAGTTTTCCATTCAAAATATCTAGTTCTGGAAGTTGTGTTAAACTCTTTCAAGAGTTCAAACATTGTTCACAAAAGCTAGAAGGAAAGGATTGCTAATATTAAGCCAAAGGACTAGAAATCAAAATTTGACCAACTTTGTCCTAGCCTTCTCAAATAACCTTCACAAGAGTGAACCATTCTTTTCCATTCTAAGGTGGCCTTTAATTTTCTGGATTTAGTTTGTTCTTTTTGCAGGTCAATAATTTCAAGAAGATCACCAATTAGAGGCGTTGGAGTTTAAAATTGTTGCTGAAAATCCGTCACTAGTTTGTTGCAATTTTGATCGCTAAATTTTGTTCTTAGGCTAGCTTGATTTTCCTTGCAATTTTATTTGTTTTCAATCAAATTGTAATAGGTTGGAGGGAGTATGAAGAAGCTGGTCAGGTATATCTACATCCCTATAGTTTGCTCACATGTAGATCTAGTGGAAGTGGCTTGAAAATTTCATATGATTTCAAGCTTCCACTTAGGAAATCCGACTAGTTTGTTAATCTTTAATCTTTGTTATTGTTTTAATTCCTTGCTTGCTTTCTTTGTAACTTTTACTAGCTTGTGTAGAATTTTAATTGCTCACGATTAGATTGAAGTCAAAGAAAATATTTGAAAAGCATAAAGCATCAAAGATTTTTTTGTGAAAAGTTTTGTTGAATTGAGATTACCATAAGGGAGTTTAGTAGTTTCCACTTGAAAAGGCTTGGTTATTAAGTGGCTCTTAGTAGCTCACCTACCTTTATAGTGAAATTTGTATACTTAGACCTCCAAGTGCTAATTTTCTTCCTAAAAAATCTCAAACAAAATTTTCTTTTTGCATTGCATACCAAAATCTTCTTGAAACTTAACCATGAGTAACCATTCTCAAAGTAATAGTGATCTGGACTCTCCAAAAAGCTTTTCTCATCTTGTTAAAGAGTTAAAATCACTAAAACTTTGGAGAAAGCAAGAGGTAGTTTCCATGGAAAAAGAAAGAATTGAAAGAGAAGTACAACTTGTTATTCTTGAAGAAGAAATACAAAAGGTTAAGCAACAAGAAGCAAAACTTTTAGAAAAATTAAAACACAAAAAGAAAAGTCATAAAAGTTCCCATAACTCCACAAGCAAAGAGGAAGTAGGAAGTTTGAATGTAGATGAATATTATCAACCTATTCCTAGAAGGGTCATAAAAAAGCCAAAGGTTAGGGAATCACAAGTTGATCTCCCTCCCTTTCATGGCGAAGAGGATGTGAATGCCTACTTGGACTGGGAAATGAAAGTGGAGCAAATCTTCACTTGTCATCAAGCGAGCTTATGGATAAGCTCCAAAGACTCCAACAAAAGAATATGAGTGTGGAAGAGTATAGACAAAAAATGCATTTGTATTTAATGAGGGCTGGTATAAGGGAAGAGGAGAGATTGACTATAGCAAGATTCTTGAGTGGTCTTAACTTTGACTTCACGGCCCGCCACGCACCGGTCTCATGCATCAACGCACAGATCAGGGCAGGGTACTAGCAGGGCCCCCACCCATGTCTCCGAGGGCCAAGAACCCTTCTGTCGTCATCCTTTTGTGGATGGCATTATGGAGCCCCCACTGCCCCGTGGGGGGAGGCCCCTCCACCTCGACCGCTACGACGGCACCACGGACCCCGACGAGCACATCGACTCGTACACAACTCAGGTAAACCTCTACACTAACAAGGACGCTATATTGTGTAGAGTTTTTCCGACCTCACTCAAGGGACCCGCGCTTCATTGGTACACCCAACTACCAGCTGGATCCATCGACAGCTTTGCCACCTTGGTGCGGCGATTCGTGGCACAATACGCCACCAGCCAGCCTCACCATATAACCTCGGCCGCCTTGGCCAACCTCAGGCAGAACGATGATGAATCCCTGCGAGCTTTCATGGAGCGCTTCTCCAACATCTCGGTTCGGATCCAGAATCTAAACCCGGAGGTCGCCCTGCACGCCATGCTCATGGCACTGAAACCCGGATCGTTTGTCGACAGCCTATGCCGCGACGCCCCCCGCGACATGGATGAGCTGCGTGCCCGCGCCGCCGGCTACATTCAGATGGAAGAGCACTCGGCCTTCCGCGACCAAGTTCGCGGGAAGGGCCCCGCAAAACCGGAACAGGGCCACAAGGATAAGGTAAAAGTCAATAATGACAGCCAATTCAAGAAGCCGGCCAGAGCCAACAGAAGCGGGAGGTATGACTTCTACACTCCCCTAAACGCCCCGAGAGTCCACATCCTGGAAGAAGCCAGTAACAATAACCTACTAGCCCTCCCACCACCCGGCCACACCCCCAACAGCGCCGATCAGTCCAAACACTGTCGGTACCACAGGAACTACGGCCACACCACTGACGAGTGCCGCATGCTCCGGGACCGCATCGAAGAGCTCATCCAGGCAGGCCACCTCGGCCACTACATCCAGCGACATCCAGGTTCTCGAGGTGGCTCTGGAGGTCGGGGACGCGGGAGAGGCCGCGGGTCAGGAGCTCGCACAGACTTACCCACAGGGTCCCAGCAAAATGCTAACGGCGCGATACAGGCCGAAATAAGTCAGGAAACAGCATCGGCTCCCTTACGGGGAGTAATCAACACGATTGCAGGTGGTTTTGCGGGAGGAGGCGCCAGCAGCTCGGCCCGAAGAAGACACCTGCAGAGCATCAATTGCGTCCACTCTACCAACTCGGCCCCGCACCAAAGCTCACCACCGATCTCCTTCTCCGATGAAGATTACGCCGGCGTCAGCCCTAACCAGGATGACCCCATGGTCATCATCGTGGAGATAGCCAACTGGAAAGTGCAGAAAATACTCATTGACCAGGGAAGCTCGGCTGACATCCTGTACTGGCCGACTTTCCTCAAACTAGACGTCCCCCACTCTCTCATTCAACCTCACACGGAGCCCCTAGTCGGCTTCGCGGGAGAACGAGTTCACACTCGGGGATACGTAGACTTGCTGACAACTTTCGGAACACCACCAGATACAAGGCGGGTCCTGGTCCGGTACCTCCTCGTGGAAGCCAACATGATAGACCATGGGCCAAGGGCCCAGTGACCAGAGTTAT